GAGTCGGGCCCTGAAGGAACGGGGACAAACCCATCAATAGGCAGAGACAGGGCAGGGCCTGGCCTGGCCACCCACGCCCCTCTGTCCCCCACCCCCAGGAGGGCCTGTTCCTCCCACTGCAACAGCAAAGAGAGGAACAGGCCCTGGTTAATGAAGGCTGCCTCGTCCAGCAGCCCAGCAGCCCAGCAGCCTCTCTCCCCTGGGTCATGCTTGTAATCTTTGTGGGGTCACGGGTAATCCTGACCAGGGACCTGAGCAAGCTGTGTCGTCTCCCTGTTGTTGGTCCGAAGATAAGTCATTTCACCTTTTGGACCACAGAGGACCTCTGTGAAATGAAGATCGCACTCTGTCTTACAAGGTGATTGAGGCTCAAAGGAAATGGGGCGCAGGAATGCAGAGGTCAAGGTCAATCTTGGCGGTTGGGGGGCCTCTGACCCTGAAGCACAGGCAATAAACCCTCTAAACCCGCCCAACAGCCGCTCAGACAGTTGCTGCTGGGTGCCAGTCACCAGTGCGCCTGGAGGACGGGTGGAGGGCTTGGCGCAATCTCACCCTTCTGTCACGTTCAAACTTGCTTGTAGGCAGATCCTCGGCATCAAAGGTCCTGCCCGAGCCCGGTTCAGGGGCTGGGTTAGTGGCCCTCCTGCCACACCCTCCAGTCAAGCCCTCATCACACTGTATCCTAATGATGGCTTAGGAGACTATTAGGCTGCTTAAGAGCAGAGACATGTTTAATATGTCTGTTCTCTACTGAAGTACTTAGCACGTAGTAGACCTCGAAATATTTGTCAGTGACCCTGTGAACGCACTCTCCTTCCAAGTCAAACGCCCGTCCAAATAGGACTTGTTTGAGCCTCTCACTCTGCCTGTGTGAGTATGAACCAAGTTTCCCAGTCTACGCGTGGGCCCGCTTTAAGCCCACCCCCTGCAGTTACAATGATCTTAGCTGCCCAAGAAGCAGCAACCTCCCCTGGTCATTTCTGCCAGTGTGGGACAGACCAGGGACTCATTTCTGGGATCCTGACGGCATCCTGTCTGCCTTAGTTTAAGGTGACAAAATACAACATTCAGTGACACTAAAATAAGCAGACAACTCAAGAGGGAAAAAATCATTTAAAATAAACACCCCACCCCTCAAGTACACAGGGCAGAATGTTTGAATGCGGGCTTCACTGTGATCGGGAGGGCCCTCTGATGTTCGCAGAGGCCCAGAGAGCAGATAAGAGTGCTGGTCTCAGAGACCTCCTCCGATTCCCCGGGGTCCCGCCTCCACACCTGCTGGGCTCTGTCCTCATTGACCACCACCCTCTCTGCCCCTCTTCCCCAACCCCCAATCGTATTTTCAAAGTGTCCCCTGGTCTGGCTCCTTTCTTTGAATCCCTGGGCCCAGGTTGGGAAGCCTCACTGGTCTACAGCTGTGGGTAAGTCAGAGCCACTGAACCTTAGATTCTTCTCACTCAAGAGTAACCTCCAGAGATTATTCTGAGGATTAAGTGAGATAAAATACAAAACTCTGACACACAACTGGACATGTACGTCCTCTGCCTCTCTTTCCCCAGCCACCCTGTCTCTGCACTTGAACCACTTCACAGTCTGCCCCATCTGTCCTCATAGCAGCCGGACCCACTGGAAACAAAGAAACTCCATGCCTCAGGCTGAAAAGGAAGCCGGGAGAATCTAGTAATGGCCGTGGAGGGCTGCTTGCCTGTTGGACAAGTTGGGATAAAAGTGGGGCCAGGCAGTGGTCAGAGGTGTAGCCTTTAGAGCAGAAGCTAGTGATCAGCGTCTTTCTATAACCAGCCATGTGACCTCTGGGAAAGTCCCCTTCCTTCTCTGTGCCTCAGTTTCCTCCCCTGCCCTACCTCCTTCACAGGGTCTTTGAGAAGGTGCTATACAGCTGTGAGCCGCAGTGATGGAGAGTGGGCGCCCAGGAGGCCTGGGAGTTGAGTGGGCACTGACAGAGTCAGGAGCTGCTTCTTCCGGGGGGTGGTCAGCTGCTTTGATCCCAGTTTTAGGACCCCCATGCCAGGCCCCTGTCAATACTCAGCTCCCACCAGGACAGATCTTTCCTTCTGCCAATCAAAGCTGCTTCCTGTTTTGAAGCAAAAATCTCTTGCTCCTGCTCCAGCTCCTGAGTGCCTTATGGAGAATTGTCCCTTCCAGTTTCCTCCTCTCTCCTTGTTTAACTCAGCAGTTCACCTCCCTCAGGAAGCCCTCCCAGATTAAGTATATCCAGCCTCAAAAGCTCTTCCATGGAGCACATCCCCCAGCATTTGAGTTAACTCTTAGGAGGCAAAACCCACAGATTATGTCCTCCTAGGGCTAGTGCCTGACGGACATTAGGCACTCTGGCCATTACCACTGGTCAAAGATGTACGGACTGGAATACCGGATCAGTTCACAAATGTTACAATTTCTGTTGTTAAATATTTACAGAGTTAACAACATTCCACTACACAAAAGACTGCTGACATCTCATGTGGGACTAGAAGCTCCAGGGGGCAGGGGCCCTGTTTCTCCCTTCCTGTAACAGGGGTACACCCGGGTTGTGACCAGGCTAATTCCATTCAGTCTTCCGGGTGTAATCCTGCCGCACCATCCTCAGACAGTGGGCCAGGGTACCGTGGTTGGCAGTTAGACACTTGAGCACAGCAAGGAAGATGAGCCCGGTACAGAAGGTCGCCTGAGTGGAAAGCCCCGGGTGCCTAACAACAGGCAAAACTGGGAAAACAAGGACCTCGCCTCCAAGGCAACCTTTCCTTCCCTAGTGTATTGCTGGTCACATGCTTTAGGCCCCCTGACCTTTCACATTGCTGGTTATACAATTGAGACGCCCTCACTTTTCCTCCCTAAAAGTAACATCTAGAGCTCAATTATATTTCACATTCAGGCCCAGAAAAGCAGCAAAACCAGACAAAAAAATGCCATGGCTGCCTCAGAACCAGCTGCCGTGGCACTCGCCAATCAGTGGCTCCACGACCATGAAAAGAGCACACCTGGAAAACTGATTAATAATCTACTGAGGTCCTCCTTTGAGACCTCCCCTAAGATTCCTGCCTGCAAGGGAGAGAAAACCCTTCAGGACAAAGAACCCAGTGCTCGCTCTCCCTCTGGGGGGCATGCCAGTGCCTTTCCTTTCCTGCCTTATTCCCCCACCTGTCTGTCCCTCCTAAACTCTAAGGGGCCCCACGAGACTTGCAACCAGGGGAGCAATGGCCGCGGCAGCTCCTCCCGGGCTAACCCCCTGCACCCCCTCCCAGGCCCCCTTTGCTCTGAGGTCCCAGAGAGCTAAGGCAGCCCCGCCTGGGCTCTCCTGTTGCTTCTTCTATGCTAAGCCCTTCCTCGTTTCACTGTTCTGAGTGTGCTTTGGCTGCGGCCAATAAAATTCTTGCTTTACTGAACTTTGTCTCTTGACTGAAATCTCCCCTTCAAGGAGACAAGAACCGAGGACTCGTCGTCTCGCTAGTAACACTGTCACAAAGGTCTAGAGCAAGGACTTGGGCGTTTGAATCCCGGCTCGACCATTTACTAGCTATGGTGATGTTCTGAATCCAAAATAAATTCCCTTTCCCCTCCATTGTTGCAAAAGGCAAAAGAGAAAATGCAGGCATGTATTAAGTGCTAATAAACTGAGGCTTGTTAGTATTATAAGACTTGACCCCTGACCCCAGCTGCAGCCCACTGCAAAATAGTCACCCAGGTCCTCCTTCCTTTTTTCAAACGTGCCTTTGTCTTTTGCAGCATGCAATATTCAGAGGCAGCTCAGGCAGACAAAGGGGAACTACTTAGAAGGACAGGGAGGAAACACGGACAGTACAAGTTAACCCTTCTTCCTGGTAGCCAACCTAGCCAACTACGGGCATCACCACCCCTTCCCGGAACAGGTGCTCCACCACTGGTCTTTCCAGGTTGGTCTTCCCTCCTAGGCCATTCGGTCTCCACAGGTAACCGAACTCCAACCACATTCACTGCGTTGAATTAGAACAGTGAACCCCAGCCACTCCTGTTGTATGTTCTGAACTGGACGCCAAAGGCTGTTGGTGTTTCTTAGCAAATTTCTGTGTAGGGGAGTCAGATTTAGCAAATAAAACACAGGATGCCCATTAACTTTGAATTTCAGATACATAATGATTAACTTTATGGTATCGGTATGCCCCATTCAATATGTGGGGGCATAGTAATACTAAAACATTACCTGTTGTTTATCTGAAGTTCAAATTTAATGAGGTATCCTACATTTTACCTGGAAACCCTGCCCAACGGCACAGAGCAAAGATTAAAATCTCTGCCCCACAACCTCCAGCCACACCTATATTCTAATCAGCCAGCCTACAAGCATTCCTTCCTTTCAACCCTCAAGCACAGCAGATAAGGTAAGTGGACACTTTTCCTGAGCTGGAGTCCAGCGACCTGCCTTGTCCAAGTGCCCCGCGCATAGTAGGTGCTCTTAACGCATTCCTCATTCATTCCAGGCTGCTGGAGCTCTTGTGGTGGGCCAGTGGGGAGTGTGAACGAGCCGGGCCCGGCCAGCCTTGCCTCTGCAGCAGGCTAAGGACATCATGGCTCCGGTGCAGTTGGGGAGGGCAAACCACCAGCTTCCTGGGGTTGTTCTGAAGATCAAATGAGAAAATGGCCAGGGATATGTTTTGTGAATCCCTGGACAGCACAGAGGTATTATCATGACCTCCGAGTGGCCCGTTTTCCCACAGGCCCCCGCTCATCCCAAGGGTGAGGACCTTGCCAGGGCACAGGGACATGGCACAAGGAAGCCAGATCCTCTGGACCCCGTAGTAATGACTAACAACTGCTTATTACTTAGTAATTTGCCAAACACGTTCACATACATCCTCTAGAGGCCTCGCCCCAGCCCCACGACATGAGTGAGGTTTCCTGGACCATTTTCCTGCCGGTCGTTCGGGAGGTCTGCCCCTGAGGTGGGGCCTGATCCAAGGGACTGGTCCTGGGGTCCCGCCCCTGAGGCGGCGGAGGGCAAGGCCTACCTTCTGGGCCTGTTGGATCATCTGCCTGACCACCTGCTTGAGGTGGGGCGCCTTCTCCTCCTTGGGGGGGTGGGTGAAGAGGGTGACACGACTCACGCCGCGGTAAAAGCCGGTGTCGGTCCAGCCCAGGTCCAGCGGGGGCACCTCGGTGTCGGAGCGGTCGGGCCAATAGGCCAGGGACTCGCCGGGTTCGGCTGGGGCCTGCGGCAGGGCCTGGGCCTTGGCCTTGGCCTTACTCTTGCCCCGGTTGGTGGGGCCGGCGTGAGGGGCGGGGTCCTCATAGGGGCTCCAGGAGGCACGGAGGTCCTGGCGCTCCTGGCTGGACAAGAAGTCCCGCAGCCGTTCCTTCTTGACCCGCTCGCGGTAGGCTAGCTCGCCGCCGCCCAGCAGCGCCTCCAGCGCGGCCCGCCGCCGCTCGCAGTAGTAGAAGGCGGCCTGCGCCTCGGTCACCCGCTCGTTCACGTGGGCCTCGTCCAGGCAGCCCAGCTGGGACTCGGCCATGGTGCCCGGCCGCCCGCCTCGGCCGCGACAGCGGCCCCGGTCCCACCGCCGCACCTGGAGCCGCCGAGGGGCGGGGCGCCTCACCTGGCCGCGAGGTGGGCCAATGGGCGGGGGCCGGAGCGCGGGCGCGGCCGTCGGGCGGGCGGGCGGGCGGGGAGGGGCCGCCTCGCCCTCCGCCTCCGCAGGCGCGAGCGGGCGGACGACCTCGGGGGTTCCCGGGGAACGCGGGGCCTAGTCCTGAGAAGTCCAGCCCCGGGCGGGAGCCCCCGAGTGGGCAGGGACGCGGAGCGCGGCCGTAGGTAGACCCACGTGCGGCCTCCGGCCAGCTTCTGCCTTCCAGCCCCGACCCTTCCTGGGGGGAAGGAGGGGTAGCTAACCTTTCCTGCCGCGGGCGGCTGGCTGAGCTGGAGACGTTGCAGGTGCATGTTAATCCGCCACCTCCCCCCACCCCCCACCACGCCTCCCCGCAGGTAGCCCGGAGCAAGTGCTCTGGCCAGGGTGCCTTTGGGGCTGAAGGTCTGACCTCTCCCAGTTGGAGAGCCTGGGGGCCCTGCTGCTAGACCGGATTTTAACGGCTGAGGAGGGGCACTTAGTGTGCAAAAGCAAAATGCTAATAAAACCACCGGCTCCGGCCCACCCGTCCCAGTTCTGAGATCAGAGGCCTCCCTCCAGAGGCTGTCAATCCAACACCTTCACCACGATAAAAATTTCTTTAAAAAACAAAACAAAACACAACCAAAATACAGCAAAGGCGTAAGCAGCAGCGGTGGAATCTCACCCCCCCCCCCATTTTAATGTTAAGTCGGGGGCGTGTGTGTGTGTGTGTGTGTGTGTGTTTGGGCAAGACAGGCTGCCAGTGGCCTGATTGCTGTATTAGTGATTCAGAATAGATGTTTAAGCTCAAGGAAGAAAGCAGTGCGTGGGCGCGCGCCCCCGACCACCACCACCACTGCTTAATCCTTCACGTATTATTTTGTTCAAGCACCGCTGCAAGTCTGATTCTCTAGACTCAAAATATTTTCAGATCATAGCAATGAAGGGTTCACATTTCTCTCATTTTATATCACAGTGTCTTCGAGCTGGAAGGAGATTTAGAAACCAGTCCAACCCCCTCATTTTACAGATGAGGAAATTGAGGCCTAGAAACATGTGGTTTGCCCAGGTCTCCCTGTAAAGGGAAACAGCCCTTGGGGTTCTGTGTCTTGGAGATCTTTGCCCTTGTCCTTTCTATTTCTCTTGTGAAATGACAGAATTTGAGACCTGATTTGAAGAGGTCTCCTATTGTTTCTGGGCCTTCCTTTCACGGCCTGAAAAAAGTGAGAGTTAGATTTTCAAATATAAGCAACTTTCGTGACAATAGTTAAGTTCTGCCATCCTGTGTCAGCCCAAAGACCCTGGTGGTGAGCATCGAGGTGCCTGTCACCTCACCAAGTAGCCTTTTCTGCGTTCGGGAATTGGAAGGTCTCACTCCTGGTGACGCCCTACTTTAAAGCATAGGCCAATTTCGTCCTTAGACTGGAGAGCATTCTGTTTGTTTCCTGATGGCTTGAGGCCCTGCCAGACGCCAGACTCTGTGCCCTGGGGAGCGAGCATTTCCTCAAAGCCTGTTGTGTGCCTGGCATGCAGTATGTGCTCAGCACAGATTTCTTTGAAAAAGAGCGACCCTGGGATGTAAGGTGCAGCATAAGGAATATAGCCAATAATATTGTAACAACTAGGGATGGTGTCAGATGGATGCTAGACTTTTCAGGGTGGTCGCTTTGTAAGGTTCCTAAATGTCTCCTCACAAGGTTGTGCACCTGAACCTGATGTAATGTTGGGTGTCAACTGTAATTGAAAAATAAATTTTAAAAAGAGAGAATGAATTAGGGCCAAGAGAAAGGTATGGGCAGGGAGCCATGGGGCCTCTGAGGGAAGAAGTAATTAATCAAGTAATTATTCTATTCAATGGGATGTGGATAAGAAGGACTTCACCCAGCAAGAAGGGAATTTGAGTGGAATCTAAAAGGCTGAGAAGTCAAGGGGGAGAGGGAGTGAGGACCTTCTAGCAGAGGGAGTTGAGACGGGGTATGTCAGAGCACCATGCTGGCTGCTATCAGGTACATGCTGGTCAGTTCGAGATATAGTCATGGGCCTCATAGTGACGTTTTGATCAACGATGGATGTCAGTAGTCCCATAAGGTTACAATGGAGCTGAACATTCCCATAGCTTAGTGTCGTAGCCTCCGGAAGACCGCAGTGTAACTTGTTACTCGTGTGTTTGTGTTGATGCTGGTGCAGACAAACCTGCTGCACTGCCCGTCTTAGGGACATACCGCACATTCGGTTATGCACAGTGCGTAGCACTCAATAGGGATAATAGACGACTATGTTATGCTTTATGCATTCACTGTACTTTTTATTGCTATTTTAGAGTGTACTCTTCCTACTTGTAAAAAAGAACAAAGTTTGCCATAAAACAGTATGGTGTGTTCTGCTGGCAGTCACCTCATCCATCTCATGTTTACTGCTCTCTCGATTGTACCGTTTTCTCTTGAGTTTGATTTAATTTCTCGCCCTTTTCTACAGTCATGTGGCCTGTACAGGCCTGTAGCCTAGGATCATACAGCCTGGGCATGCACTAGGCTAGGCCTTTTAGGTTTATGTAACAATGACCGAACCGCCTCAGGCCACACTTCTCAGGATGCATCTCCATTGTCAAGTGGCACAGGGCTGTACTAACCCTCAGTGTGCACATCTGTAAAAAGGAATAATAATTCTGACCTCCGAGGTTGTTGTACTGATTAAATGAGATCATATATTTGATCTGATTAGCCCTGTCTGACTGGTAGGAAGTAGTTTACAGCCCTGCTCCTGAAACTTTACTGTGCTTAGTAGTCCCCTGGGGGAATCTGGCCAAAACGCAGATTCTAATTCAGCAAGTCTGAGGTGAGGCCCGAGCCTGCATTTCTAGCGAGCTTCCAGGTAGTGCCGGTTGATAGGCTGCACTGTGCGTAGCAAGGATTTCAGAGGCTGGTGACTAGGAACATGAACTTTCACGTCAGAGAGCAATGAAATGCAGTCCCGCTCTCCTGGGTAAGCTGCGTGTCCCTGGGAGAGTCACTTCCCCTTTCGGCACCTTGGTCACGTCATCAGGGAAATATGGGCAACAACGTCCCACCTTACAGGGCTGTGTGAGGAAGGAAGCAAGGTAGTGGGTACCCAGCACTTCCTGGGGTGTCTGGCAGCCGGGGAAGGGTAGTTAGTATTAACGTGCGGGAAGGTGGGGCTGGGAGAAAGGGCACGGGGGCCAGGGGGTAGGGGCCTTGGCTTTAGATCTCATTCTGTAGCTAGAGGGGCGCCACCGAAGGTTATTAAGAGACTGATAGGCTATTTAAAAAACAGCAATAATTACTATGTGCCAGGCACTGTGCTAAATATTTTATGTATCCTCCAAGTGAATTCATGTCATCTTATTAGAAAAATTATCATCCTCATTTTATAGGTAAGAAAACCAGCACATGGTGGGGGCAGGGGTGGAGGGAATGGAGGAATAAAGAAAAAAAAAAAAAAAGAAGAAAACTGAAGCACAGAGCGGTTCAGTAGTAGCTCATTGTAGTTTGCCCAGCTAATAAATTAGAAGAGCCAGGATTAAAACTTGGACCCCCTGATTCCAGAGCCTCTCTACCTACCCATCCTGTTTTACGGCCTGAGTTGAGAATGCTGGAAAGGAACGTTAGTAAAAGACAGTGTTCCCCTTGTTTGATAATTTATTCATTCAACAAATATTTGCTGGATGCTTTGTACTGTGCTATGGGTTACAAACCCATATTCATTCATTTACCACATTCTTATTGAGCCTTACTAAGCACAAGAGCAAGTCCTAGGCACTGGGGATGCAGTTCCCACAAAGCAAGTCCTTGCCCACGTGGAGCTTACATTGACGTGGAACAATTAAGACAAGGTTTTTGCTCTCAAGGAGCACACATGTTAAGTGACACAAATTGGAATAGAACAGAAGGTGAGAATCAGAATACTTGAGTAACAGTTCACATTGGATAAGGTCTTTTTTAGCTCTAACTGGTTGAAACACACTGTGATCTTTTTGTAATATTCCTGTTTACATACCAATGACTTATTTATTCAATCAACACATTTAAGCAGTTAGTGCGCGCTACATAACACATGACCCACCGAGAATAAACGAGAGGACTTGGACCTGACAGCCAGCTGCCCTGGTGGCTCCCTCAGGTCAGCTGGCTGGGGAGCAGCACCCAGCCTTCACAGACGTGCCCAGCTGCACAGGCCTTTTAACGTACCCCTGTCCGATTGGACTGCCCCGGTCTGGTGAAGTCGACTGGGAAAGCGATCACTGTCCAGTGTCACAGATGAATAAACTGAGGCTTCAGGAAGTGAGACTGAGGTGGTCTGTTCAAGGTTATCTGCTGGCAAGTGGGATGCTGGGACGCAGCCACGCAGCCTGAGCCCGGGGCCTTCTGCCCTGCCACACAGCTGTGTCGCTCCGCTGAACACTCTGTGCATCTTCACAGAGATTGTTCCCTTTTTTAAAAATCCTCATCCAATGAAGGAAGAAAGAGAGAGGAACACCAATGTGAGAGAGACACAGCAACTGGTTGTGTCTTGATCGGACCCAGGATCACACACGCCCAGACCTGGGATTAAACTTGAAACCTTGGCAGGTGTCAAACCCACAAACTCCCACCAACTGAGTCACACAGGCCAGGGCAGTGACTGATTCTTAAAAAGCCTTATTGGCCAGGAAAGGGATCCCTTTTAGGCACAGGCCCTATTGCCCCTGGAGACATTCCAGGAATCGCTGACATCCGAGGCAAGCCTCTGGCCCTCCACCAGTCCCTCCTGCCTTGGGTCTGTTGCTCCCCTGAGTTAGGAGGGGCTCCTCACGGTTGCATTTCCAACATTTTCCAACCTGGGAGGCCACCTTGGCCAAGGTGACCTCGCCTTCCTGAGAAGCCGTGCCTCCTCCTGCTCCACCCTCCTTC